ATTATTGTTGTTGTTTTAAGAACAGGACAATCAAGAATTTTAGTGGTGTACCTCTTCCAGGTTGTACATATCTTATGGAATAGAAAAAGTCTGTACCAAATAAAAGGCACTATCAGATGGAACAAGGAAACTGGAAGAGTGCTGGGAGTCGTTCAAAAGAATAAAAGGATTATTAACTAAGTGGAATTTAAGTGAAAACAAAACAAAAAAGAATAAAAGAATTTAAATAACACTTGAATATCATACAATCTTCAAATATTTTATAAATATTTTAAATGCTTTTACAGCTAAGAACATACTTTTAAAAATTTTTTTTTAATGTTTATTTATTTTTGAGAGACAGAGACAGAGCATGAGCGGAGGAGGGGTAGAGAGAGAGGGAGACAGAATCCGAAGCAGGCTCCAGGCTCTGAGCTGTTAGCACAGAGACTGACGTGGAGCTGGAACTCATGAGCCGTGAAATCATGACCTGAGCCTAAATTGCACGCTTAACTGACTGAGTCACCCAGGTGCCCCAAGAACATACTTTTAATCATGTAAGGGTAAGAAGAGCTTTTAAAACAATGGGTCAGATATTTCATTAAGAACTCACTTCAGGAAGCCTGAGCATTCTAGGAAATAAAAGAGACTTCAGGTTATGTGATTAGCAAAGAGCAGATATCAGAGTATGTATAGTGTGTGTCGTATGACAGGATGTGTTACGTAACTCAGTAACCATGGCAAGTAAAGAAGCAGGCGGAGAGGTAACTTCATAATTCTAAACTAACAGAATTCTTAGAAGAATACAAAGCAGTGAATGGTTTGCTAACGAAACAAAGTTGGATGATGCTAATGCAAGATGCATGGCTGTCTTAATAGCTCATGTTACATTTCTATTGTACATAAAATAAGAGGAGACTTGCTAATTTGTATTTTTAAGATTTAAAAGAAAGAACACTACCAGAAAAAAATCTGTTCCTCTTCCAATTCTTCCCCTTAAAATGGCCATCTCCACCCTAAAATCAGAAACCAAGCCAGTAAGACCAGAAATAAGAACTTAATTACATGCTGCCAAAACCTTGACTGTATTAACGTTAAATTATATGTAATAATATGTTTTATATAAACTACTAAATGATAAACATGCAGGTCAAGCCAAAAGATTTGCTTCAGTGCTGTCCTCAATTTCCATCCTCTTAAATGACCTTCATGATATGTTTAAATGCTGTTCCAGAATATTTAGTGTGGAACCAAATCTTATTTCATGCTTATCAAGTGTAATTGTTTGCTCAGAAATGTTTGGTGCTATTAGACATTGGGATCTCGTTTTATTACACAATTAGAAACTTTTCCTTCTATAATTATAAAGTTCTGAACCAAAGCTAAGAATGACCATTGATTATACATGACTAAGACAACACAACATCAAATAAAATTATCTGACTTAATGTAAGTTGCAGTTTTATTAGAATGTACCAGTCGGGCAATTTCTATAACTTAGTGTTTAAATTAAGAAAACATGAATAATTTAAAGACTAATAAATTTTTAAAAATTTAGGTGAATATACACATAACTACACAAGATTTATGGTGTATCTGTAGGATTCTCTAGTCAGCATTTGTTGTGCGTGTAATGTTAATAAAAAGGATTTTTTTTTTAACCATACAATGATGATGGGATTCCCTGAATTTTCAGCTGCTGCATTTTCTACTCTACACCTGGCAGGTTCTTCTTCCTTTCAGTTTGTGCATTTCCTGTATTCTAAAAAGTAAATAGAAACAGGACCTTAACTGAGGAAATGGTGAGTCTTTGGCTAAGGAAATATAGCCACAGATAAGTACTTATACTTTGCACCTGGGGTTTGTTTTATACGGGACACTCTTTAGCATAAAGTATTCCTCATGATCATCATGAAACAGAACTGAAGGTGGCTTTTGTATGGGCTCTTTTCTCTCTTGCCTAACTCATCAGCAGTAATTTAGAGTTTCTCTTAGATTATGTTGTCTATTCAATATATGTATGTTGAGATAGATAGATAGATAGATAGATAGATAGATAGATAGATAGATATGTAGATATATAGATATATGTGTGTGTCAATATGTACACTAGTTCAGCATACATTTAAGATGCCTGAAGGAGTTGAATGTACAACTGGGAAGCACATGGATCTGACTAGATAATTCAAAAACAAGTCAATGGCACAGCCAGGAACAGAACAAGAAAGTTGCTATATCCTATCTTGCATTTTTAAAACCATGTCATACTCTATTGTGCCCTAAAATAATAAACTACCAATTCAAAGTTTAGTTTCTTAATTCTGACATTAACATATTATGAATGGGCACATATTGTGAATGGGCAGCACAAATAAACGACAACCATCACTGATTACTTCTCTAATAACTATAACTGTTTCAAGATCACTCTTGAGAAGGTCAACTTTTAAGCGTTCTACACCACAGGAGCAAGAAGGGATTTTCCCTTTCTATTTATTTAAATGAAATCTTTAAATGAACGAATTAAGAGTTCCTTTCTTCCTGCATTGGAATATAATTTTAGTTCCAGAGGCTCTCATGGGACAGTGGGATAAATACATGCAGCACGTTACTAGGAGCCAAAAACAGGGAACTAATTTAGTCAGTCATTTGAAGAATGTGCAAAGGGTGTGCTACTCAACAAGCTGCGACATCAGTAAGTCACCAAAGTTTAAAACTTTAAGGCCACCTCACTACTTTCTACGGTGAACTAAAAAGTGACCATTAGTGACTTTCTTGTTCTATCTAGAAAACATCTCTTTTCTGCAAAGTGGATTGTGGAGTTCTTAACAAGTTCTAAGCTAAAAATAAGGCCTAAGCATCACTTTGAAGATATATCTAACAGTATTTGATAGCTCTTTAATCCAAATGATGTAGCGATTGAACAGACTTGGTGAAAACACCTTCTTACATGGTTTCAAAGTCTCTCTATTTTGCTAATTTCTTCAAATTTCCTTAATAAGTATGTGCTAATTTCATCATGAATTTAAAAATATAATCAATTTTATTTATAACATGAGAAACTGATTTAATGAAGTTGCTCACCTTACAAATGTGTAGCATAGAAGGCCATTTCTATGATTTAATTCAGTGGGTGCTGAGCACCATACCCTTTTCTAAAAGAATACCTTTAGAGAGTATACATTTGGATACTGAGGATCTTGAAGATTTCCAAATAAATTCAAGACTCTCTCTGGGAGATAGGGGTTGGGATATTTCAACAATATTATCTGATAGCTAGCTGAGAACAAATCTTTGTAAAAATAGAACTATTGGTGGAAAGGAAAGATGGCAGAATAAACTGAAGAGAAAACAGGAAGAAAGGAGCCCAGCATTACACAATACACACAGCATACATAATATTTTCCCTGGGTATCGTATATTCTAATCACTCAACGTTCAAATGAGGGTTAGTATTAATTACCCCAAAAAATAACTTTTAAAAACTTTTATTAATATGTTAGGTTAAGAGAATATAAATCTGTTTCTAAGGTTCAAAGATTACAGAATTTTGAATGTTTATGTAACTTTTAGTAATAACTAAATTTACACACCAAGTCAAGGGTTCCAAACAGCACTCCTTACTAAAACTATAAACAAAAAAGGTTTTTTTGATCCTTATTACGTAAAGTTGGTATTTTAGATGAATCTGTTTTCTTTGATTCCCTTTTCAGCACTTTTATCTGTTTAACTTTTGCAAAAATATATACAACAGTGACAACTTGTTATTCCTACCTTGAAATTTTACTTTCCTTTTTAAGAGTTTCTTTTTTTTTTTTTCAACATTTATTTATTTTTGGGACAGAGAGAGACACAGCATGAACGGGGGAGGGGCAGAGAGAGAGGGAGACACAGAATCAGAAACAGGCTCCAGGCTCTGAGCCATCAGCCCAGAGCCCGACGCGGGGCTCGAACTCACGGAGCGCGAGATCGTGACCTGGCTGAAGTCGGACGCTTAACCGACTGCGCCACCCAGGCGCCCCAAGAGTTTCAAATAGAAATTGTGATATCCACTAGAGTCAGTTTCTCAATATATTAAAATGGAACTTAATAAATCATCAGCTATAGTGGTAAAACATGCCAATCATAAATGATTTGTTTTACCACTTTACAGATAGCCTTACAGGTATTAAAAGAAGACATTTATTTTTTAAATTCTGCATATTAAGTGGATCAGATAATTCCTCTTGAATTATATTCAAGTACTATATTCTTGCTATTATAATAACTTTTCACAAGGTGTCACTGTTCTTCAAAGAAACAAAACATTTACTCTGTAAAAAAAAAAAAAAATGTGTTTCATTTTAAGAGCTCAATACATGTTATAAATCTTAATCTACTGTATCTTCGGATGCCAGAAGCACATATATCATTCCTGCTATTATATGGGCAAAAATCATGGAGAAACAAAGGAAACTGATTTACTCCAGGTCATATACGGAACCAAAATCACTTTCCTCAAATATTGTACGAACATTTCAACAATACTGAGCTACTGAAAAATTTGTCTTTTAAAGTTTTCTTAATCCTTCTTTAAAAGTATCTCCTTGAGGGCGCCTGGGTGGCGCAGTCGGTTAAGCGTCCGACTTCAGCCAGGTCACGATCTCGCGGTCCGGGAGTTCGAGCCCCGCGTCGGGCTCTGGGCTGATGGCTCAGAGCCTGGAGCCTGTTTCCGATTCTGTGTCTCCCTCTCTCTCTGGCCCTCCCCCCGTTCATGCTCTGTCTCTCTCTGTCCCAAAAATAAATAAATGTTGAAAAAAAAATTTTTTTTAATAAATAAATTTAAAAAAATAAAAGTATCTCCTTTAAGACTTACCTCTTCTTTGACTATGAGAAAAGAAATTCTCATCAGCTGAAAATATTTTTCAAAGCAATCTATTTTCTATCTAAATTATATTATAAATGTAAGCTATCTTACAAAAAAAAAGGTCTTGTAAAAGATAACATCTGGAAATTTGTAAAGCTGTGCAACAGATATGTACCTTCCGTTCCCTTCATCTCCTTGGGCTGTATCGTGAAAGGCAGTTCTGGGAAATGGAATTCCTTCGTGTCAGATCTGGAAAAATTCAGCTTTCTTTTGTTTCCATTTGCTATTTGGTCATTTTGACCTGTTCGCTCATTAAATATACCCTTCTCCATTTGGCTCTAAACAAACAAATAAGTAAGAGTTAATTTTAAAAAAGATGTGTAACTATTTTTTGAATCATAAGCCTAAAATTGCCAGCCATTTGGAAGGTAATAAGATAGTCATAAAAGGTCTACATTTGCAAGGTTATTTAATAATTAAGAAGTAGAATAGAATACCATTAAACACATAAACAGATCGAATTCCAATAAAAGTTTCATGAAGCAAACTTTTAAAGATATATTGGATAATCTGAGAATACTAGTGTTGATCATGAGAAGCATAATCTTAACTTTTAATTTATAATCCTACTCATTGTACTCTGACTTTGACAAACTGCTTCAGTTCATTTTATTAATAATTTATTTTCCATTTACAAAATGATGTACTCTGGACACATTGAAAACCTGAGAACCCAGAACTCTAGAAATGTGTTACCTATTTTCACTCATTTGGCAAGAGATGACAAAAAATCTGCTAAGTTAATGAACACTCTACCACAATGTAATATGTAGTATGCCACTGTGTGAATATATATTAATGTGCTTAATGACTTGCTTGCTCTTAGATTTGTGTTGTTTTCATTTTTTATTATTATAAATAACATTATGTTTCAATTTTTAATAAGCTACTTCCCTATGTAAAACAGTAAGGCAATGAACTACACTGATTGCATTTTTCTTAAAAAAAAATTTTTTTTAATGTTTATTTATTTTTGCGAGAGGGAGAGTGTGTGAGCAGGGGAGGGGCAGAGAGAGAGGGAGACACAGAATCTGAAGCAGGCTCCAGGCTCTGAGCTGCCAGCACAGAGCCTGATGTGGGGCTCAAACTCGTGAACCGCAAGATCACGACCTGAGCTGAGGCTGGATGCCGTACCTACTGACCCACCCAGGTGCCCCACTGATTATATTTTTCTAGTGAAAAGTTTGATGTGTCTATTTTGTAATTGCCTTTAATCTATAAATAAGATATTAAAAACACTTTGGGGGCAGTAAAAGACCAAAAAGTCTTGTGCCTTTTTTTTTTTAAGATTCTATTTTTTTTTTAAACTGATCTCTACACACTACGTAGCGCTCGAACGTATGAACCAGAGGATCAAGAGTCACATGCTCTTCGGACTGAGCTAGCCAGGCACCCAAGTCTGGTGACTTTTAAGGGTGAAAATCTTAACTTTTTTTGTGCAAGTCACACATTAAATACAGAAATCAAATTATAAGAAATTAACGAAAACTGAAAGCACTAAGGAAATGATGGCCTATTTTCATCTCAGGAGGGGAAAAAAAAAAGCTAAAAGCACATTTTTTAAAATGTTGGAGCCCTAAATATAGAAAAAAGGATTGAATGGGGAGGGAGTCAAGGATAAAGTTTAAAAGAGGCCATATTTTAATGACTAGGTTCTTGCCTTACTTGAGTGGGACCTAATCCTCTTGCCTGCTATTAGACATAACCTGTACAATAGATTGTGAAGAAGTATGTCTCTTTTTCGCTCTTTCAGTCAACCTATTATTTAAAAATGAAGGCAAAGTTATTAGAACTCCCCATAAGCACTTCTGTTTTAGCTTCAGTAATGAAGTGATATCATGGCAGTCTACAGTTTGAACACTGAGTGACAAAATGCAATCACATTGTGTAAATGCCAATTGATAGAAGTTGGTGAAAACAGAGCAGAGAACAACTTGCTCATGGCTAACATCAGTGGTAACAACCATGTTGTGGGCTCACTCCAGCTGGCCTACTTGGTTTCTTGTATTTGTTCTAAATCTGGATCTCTTAACTACTGGTTTCTGAATTTCTGAGCTTGGTTTCCAAGGCTGGCTTACAACCATGGTTATTGCAACTAGGGTTTTGGGGTCCTCTCAAGAACAAATGGGCTCTTGCTGTCTGTAGACTGTTGTACCTTTGGACTGACACAGAAACGTCCACTGGCCCACTGCTGCAGCCATTGAGCTTTACAACTTATAGCTCAAACCAGTCTGTTAGTATGGGCTTGGGATGCTGAATGTAGTCTCCTTCCCAGATTCATGGTAGTGTCCCTAAATTTAGAGGTTTTTTTAAATTATTTTATTTTAGAGAGAAAGAAAGAACAGGAGCATGGGAGAGGACAGAGGGGGAGACAGACAGACAGACAGATAGAGAATCCTAAGCAGGCTCCACACTCAGTGTGGAGAATGGTGCAGGGCTCCATCCCATGACACTGAGATCATGACCTGAGCCGAAATCAAGAGTTGGACACCCAATCAACTGAGCCACCCAGGTGCCTCTCCCTAAATTTAAAACTATCCCTGATGCCTTACTAAATAGACCCTTGCTATATACATCACACTGCCCTTGATTAACCAGACTCATGGTACCAGTCTTTCAATCTGTATCAGTAGCTAAATCTACAACTGGCCCAATATGTTGTTTTCCTCCCCAAATACTTGATCTTCAAAGGCTATTTGACTATAAACGATTATTTTCAACTATTCTCCTCCATTTAGAACATATTCTCCTCCATTTAGAAAATCTGCTATGATACAGAAAAAAATGCTTACTTTGTTATACCAAGGCACATCAGTCCCAGAACCTAGGTCATATCACCTTTTTCTTCTTCAAATGGGAAGAAATTATCCTGAGGCTCTTGTTTTTAAAAGTGAGGTTTTTCCCAAAGGCATAAGTGGAAAATTAGACATCTATATAGGTAAGAAAAGTTAATTTCTTCTATGGCATTCTTAAGAAACACTCAGTAATGTCCTATTATTATAATTTCAATATATCCTCAAATTCAGTTTATATACAGACACTATGAACTTGATTCCTTGAAACACCTTTATATAGGAATGTTGTATCACTTAGGTTCATTTCCTTCTGTCTTTTTCTGTCACAACTCACCTTGGAGTGGGAAAGATTTGACTTGGGATTTGAAGCCACCAAATTACTGTTAGTTAGATTGATAGGTGGCATCATCATACTACCTCCAGCATGTGGATCATTTTTCATTCCATTAGAGTTAGTGCCGGGATTGACAGGGTTTGGTAGTTCACTGATTATAGATTTTGTGTCTTGAGATATAGTATGAACATTTTCAATTGCATCCTGTTGACAATGTCCACCTTCACACTCTGTCTTTTTTGATTCTAAGATATCTCCTTTTCCTCCTTTGACTTTAATAACTCTGACTTTGATCTCCTTGGGCCTTTTCTCTTTTTCCATTTCCTGGAATAGGAAATATCCAAACATCCAAAATCTGAGTCAGAAGAACAGTTATTTTTATCATTAGAGTGCTACTTATAATACAGTTATATTGGCCAGAAAGAGAATAGTCTTTACCTTTCCCAAAATTGGAGTACTTAACAGTGTATTGGTAGAAGTTGTTTTCCTTTCATCTTTCATAAGTTCATTTTCTTTAGAATTCTCTTTTGGCTTTATGAATGAATTGACTTTTGCTTCTTGTAGTAATTTAGCTCTCAGTTCTGGTATAAATCTGATAAAACAAGCAATTATCAACCAATAATCTTTTATTTATATAAAGTATTTTATCTTTAATGTACCAGTTAATCAATCAATTTATGTGCTAACTACAGCATAAATAAGTTATTAAAAATGCATGTGTGCCAAGAGATGGTACAATATTTATTTAATACAAATGGCTTCCTGGTAAAGATAAATCTTCCAAAATTTTTGGCATGGGAATTTACTATATAAAACTTTTAGAAAACTTTACTCAATAAAATTATTTTTTAAATTTTCATAAATGTATTATTCTTTCCAAGGAAAACCCAAACCATTTTGTCCTTTTTGTGTTTCTTCAAAGTAACAGTACTTAAAAGATGAACTAATTAGTTTCTGAAATCTTAGTCTAGAGAAATATTTTTAGTACAAAATGTAACAGAATACATCAATATTGCAGGGGGATGATTTTGGTTTTAGTTTGATTTTTTTTATGTTACTTATTTTTTAATAGAAAACCATTCACATGGCTCAAAACGTAAAAGGCTGTATTGAAAAGTCTCCTTCCTACCCTGCCCCTGAGTTGCACAGTTCCCCTCCCTGAAGCAGCTATTATTATCACTTTGGAGAAATTTTATTTTATTTATTTTTTTAAGTGGCTCTACACACAATTGGGTCTTGAACTCACCCCCCAAGTTCAAAAGTCACATCCTCCACCAACTGAGCCAGCCAGGTGTCCCCTAGTTTGTGGAAACTTTAAAATACCATTCCATGAGTAAATTCTTCCCTAGTTCAACCCAATCTTGACAGGGCTGGGCAGGGCACATGTCTAGTAAAGGGGAGTGTGAAGAGACGAAGAAAATAAACAGTGTGATTCATTTGGCTGAATAAGAAAATGTCATACTCCTGCCAAAACTCCTTTGCATTGCAGAAGGCTCTGTGAAAGGGAGAGGTCACTTATCAAAGGAAAAGGTCTTCTCCAAACATTTTCTGAGAATTCGATCATTGGAATTCAAGAACTTTCACCCCATCATGCTAAAATCCTAGTATCTAAGTATCCAGGAGAAATCAACTTGGTCTATGGAGAAGTGATATAAAGCAACTTTTTAATTCAATAACTGGCACTTTTTTCATCAATGGATTTTCAATATACCTTCTTTACATTTTTTATTTTATAGTAAAATTCTTAAAATGCTTCAAGTTCTAAGTACTCTAAAGGATTCTCTCTTCTTTGCTTTTTTCTACTATAGTATATCTTCAATGGCAGTTCCTGGAACTTTCCATGCCTAATCTTAAATTCATCACATTTTCAAATGATGTCCATATTTTCTGACCTCACATCCAAAGACCAACTGAATGACTCTGCAATTAAAGAAAAAATTCTTCTTTCAAAGCCCAAATAGAAAACAGTGGGTTTTCTTTTAAAGAAATACAGCTGATTTATAAATATACACTGTCATTATGTTACATATACAATGTTGGACACAGAAGGACTAGAGGCATGGTCCCTACGTTCCAGAAATTTCCATTTTGGTAGGGAGAATATGACAACAGGGACTGCAAAAGAGAATAAATAAAGCAGAGGGAAAAAAATCATTCGGGAAATAAATGCCAACTATAACATATAGATCAGAGAAGCTGTCAGAAGAGGAAAAACCAGACCATTCTGAGTCAGAGGTCTAAATGGGAATAAAGTTAAACAGTACTGATTGTTTATTTACTATCTTCTGGCCTATGATTGCCATTGAAAATGTGTGTAGGGGCGCCTGGGTGGCGCAGTCGGTTGGACGTCCGACTTCAGCCAGGTCACGATCTCGCGGTCCGGGAGTTCGAGCCCCGCGTCGGGCTCTGGGCTGATGGCTCAGAGCTTGGAGCCTGTTTCCGATTCTGTGTCTCCCTCTCTCTCTGCCCCTCCCCCGTTCATGCTCTGTCTCTCTCTGTCCCAAAAATAAATAAATGTTGAAAAAAAAATTAAAAAAAAAAAAAGAAAATGTGTGTAAAGAGCTTAGCATACTGCCTAGGACATAGTAACTGTAATGAATGTTAACTACAATTATTTTATTACAATTTTCATCGTAACACCTGTGAGCCTACCATATACCTAGTCAATAGCGAGGAACTCAGTAAAGTTTTTGTTAAATTGAATTTTCTGTGTGTGTAACATTAACCTATGCAGCAATTCTCATGCTACTAAAACTTCTTAATATAAAACACTATAAAGTCCATAATCACTCGACATGCTTACTTTTCTATAAATCCATCTCTAGTAAAATACTCATGATGCAAAAGATCAGTTGACGATGTCCTTTCAGCAGGATCAATTTGTAAACAAGCCTAGAAAATGAAAAAAAAAAAAAGATTCTAACATTAATAAGTTTCTAACAGGGCTCTATAAGGTAAAAATTAAATTGACCTATGTAGAAGTTAACTAATTACCCAGAGCTAAAAAGATTCTTAAGAAGATGGAATTAGACCTTAGAAATTTCTGACAGTGAGTTCTGACCATTTATTTCCCTAAGAAATTTGTACTTGTAAAGCATTATTACAGGTTAAACGTCCTATGATTCTAGCCAAAACAGAAGTCGGTTTGTTTCAGCTGCAATTAGCAGAAATTAATTTGTTCTTTTTGATCCTCTTATCAGCACCATAAGGTGAAAAGTTCATGGATTATTATTTCCCTTTTACAGTACTAGAAGCATAATTAGTGATTTACCATATGAGGATTTTAACTCATTGTCTGAATCCTAATCCAGTGCTCTTCCTATAATACAACTTCACAAACCTTCAAGCACTCAAATCTTTCAATAATCCATTATAAGAACAGCTCTTTTCTCTTACCCTATTTTGAGAATATTTCAACTGAATAGAGATTTAAAAAAAAAACCCACAAAACAAAAACAGGTGATAGAAGTAATAGTTTTAAAAATAAGTTGAAAGGAACCTGGGTAGCTCAGTGGGTTAAGCATCCAGCTTCGCTCAGGTCATGATCTCATGGCTCATGGGCTTGAGTCCCTCACTGGGCTCTGTCCTGACAGCTCAGAGCCTGGAGCCTACTTCAAATTCTGTGTCTCCCTCTCTCACTGCCCCTCCCCTGCTCATACTCTGTCTCTCTCTCTCTGTGTATCTCTCTCAAATATAAATAAATATTTTTAAAAAATTAATCATTTAAAAATAAGTCGAACATAAGAAATCTTTATATGGTTGTAAATAGAAGATATTTTTAACCAAAATATTAATGATAGAATTTCAATAAAATTCATTTGCATCATAATTTTCATTCTTCCTTTTAAAAAAGGCAAAGAATAATAATAATTGGTAACTTTTATTGATGTTTACTGTGTGCCACACAACACTCCACCTAGCTTTTTCCTATTATTTGATCCCAGCAACAACCCTACAAGGTATATATTATTACTCCCATTGCACAGATAAAGAGACTGAGGCCCAGAAAAATCAATTTGTCTAAGATCTAATAAATAAAAGTGTAATTAAAATCCAGAAAAATGAAGGTAATTGAATATAATATTACCTTTTCATTTATGTCCAAATACGTATGTTTAAAGTGACTCACAAAAAAAAGTTGTAAAGATCTGCTATACAACAATAAGAATATAGCTAATGTATAGCTATACTATACATTTTGAAATTTGGTAAGAGGGTAGATTTCATATTATGCATTTTTTACTGTAATAATATATTGAGTCACAAAGCAAAACTGAATTCATTATCCACTTTATGATGCGGGAATACCCATACCCTTAAAACTGCAACTAGTTAAAAATATATACTTATTTTAGAGTGTAACAGTAATCTGTCAATAAAATTTATTAAGAAAAATGTTAAAAAGTCTTCCCAAGTCATAGCCTATTAGAGGTAGACTAAATTAGTCCTTCTCTGAATAATATAACCAGAAAATTTAAATCTATGCCCTAGTTTGGAAAATGTAAAATATGATACTTTGAGAAACAGACTGGCAGTTTCATTAAAAATCAAACATACACATACCTTAAATCCACCCACCATTTCAGTCTTAGATATTTACTCAAGAGAATAAAACTATACATCTACACAAAGACATATACATGAATGTTCATAGCAATTTTATTACAGCCAAAAATAGGAAACAACCCAAAACAAGGGAATAGATTAATAATTGCTACAGATCCATACAATGGACTACTACTCAGCAATAAAAAGGAATCAACTACTGATACACACAAAGCCATGAATGAATCTCTAAACCATAATGCTGAGTTGAAGAGTACATACTATGTAATTCCATGTATATTTATTCTAGAAAATGTGAACTAATCTACAGTGACAGAAGGCAACTCAGAGGTTGTCTGGGAACTGAAATGATGGGAAAGATAGATTGTAAAAGGACAAAAGGACATTTTGTAGGGTGATGGAAATGTTAGATATCTTGATTGTGGTGGTGGTTTCATAGGTGTATACACCTATCAAAACTCATCAAATTGCAAATTTTAAGTATGTGTAGTTTACTGTATATAAATTATGTCACAATAAAGTTGCTTACAAAATTTAAATCTAGGAAATGATACATGCTTTGCCCAAATATTAAGATGTGTTTTAAAGTTGCAATAGTCGGGGCACCTGACTGGCTCAGTCAGTGGAGCATGTTACTTTTGATCTCAGGGTTCTGAGTTAAAGTCATATGTTGAGTATAGAGATTACTTAAAAATAAAACCTAAAATAAAATAAAAGTGGGAAGGAGTAATTAAAAACAAAAATAAAGTTACAATAATCAATTAAACTGGTACTTACACTAGACTAAAGAAAGAAATCAATGAAATAGAAACAGACCCAAGCATGTATAAGTATTTTGTCTATGATAAATGTGGCAAACCAAGTCACAGGATTATTCAAGTTGAAGAAAAATATTTACAACCTATATGATAAAGACTAATATGCTTATTACTTCACAAATCTATATGAAAAAAGATAGTCTAATTGACAGTTTAATCATTCTTAAATATTGTTTATATTATTTCTATAGATTTATATTATATATTATATACTAATAATTTTTCATTATTATGGCCAATTTATATTGTATTATATTAATAATAAGGGTAATATATTCAACCTTTCCTGTAATCATATAACTGAAACTAAAAAAAAGATGCTATTTTAAACTTATTAAATCGGCAAATATTTTGTAATGCCTGGCTGGCTCAGTCAGTGGAGTATGTGACCCCTGATCTTGAGGTTATGAGTTTGAGCGCCACATTGAGTATAGGCGTTACTTTTGAAAAATAGGCAAATAGGAGAATGTGGGTGTCGCAGTCAGTCGAGCATCAGACTCTTGATTTTGGCTCAGGTCATGATCCCAGGGTTGTGGGATCGAGCCCCATGTCAGGCTCCACACTGGGTATGGAACCTGCTTAAGATTCTCTCTCCCTCTCTCTTTGCTCCTCCCCTGCTCATGCTCTCTCTCTCTTAAAATAATAAATAAACATTTTTTAAAGAATAAAAAATAGGCAAATATTTTAAAACCTGTAATATCCAATGTTAGATTGAGAGTGGGAATTTATATCCAATGCTGCTTGGGAGTACTTGAGTATAAATCAGTAAAACCTTTCTGGGGGAAAATATAGAACAATATATCAAAACTTCTGAAAAATGGGGCGCTTGGGTGGCTCAGTTGGTTAAGCAGCCGATCTCAGCTCGGGTCATGATCTCACGTTTCATGGATTCGAGCCCTACATCAGGCTCTGTGCTGACAGCTCAGAGCCTGGAGCCTGCTTTGGATTCTGTGTCTCCTTCTCTCTCTGTCCCCCTCCACCCACCCCCACTCATGCTCTGTCTCTGACTGAGTCTCCCCCTCAAAAATAAACATTAAAAAAAATCTTTTTTTTTAATTCTGAAAAAGTATAAACCCTGTGGCCCGCTAATCATAACTCTAGGAATTTATCCTAAAAAATAATAAAATAAGTTCAAAAAGACATATTTAAAAGATGTTCACTAGGCTGCCTGGGTGGCTTAGTCACATGAGCATCTGACTTAATTTTGGCTCAAGTTATGATCTCATGGTTTCAGGGGAATCTAGCCCCACACTGGGCTCTGTGCTGATGGTGGGAAGCCCGCTTGGGTTTCTTTCTCTCCCTCTCTCTGCCTCTCCCCTGCTCATACTTTCTTGCTCTCAAAATAAATAAAGATTTCAAAATTAATTAATTAAGTAATTCAATAAAAGACATTCACTAAAGCATCTTTACCAATAGTGACAGAGAAAACCTGAAAACAAATGTTCAAAATTGTAGGATCAGTTAAACAAACTATATTATAGTCATACAGTGGAATACCATGTAACCATTGAAAATTATGATATAGTTCCATATTTACTGAGATGGTTACATAACAAACAGGTCACACAACACTGTGTGAAGTATGACATCTTTTAAAAAGCATAAATTTCTATGCATGTATTTGGTTGACAAAAGCCTAGAAGTATGTAAATCAAAATATCAACAGTAATTTTTCCAGATTGTGGGAAAACCTTAACTTCTCCTTTTTGTTTATCATGTATTTTCTACTTTTTCTATAATCATTATGTATTCTTTGTAGAATTAAAACTATGATATAGAAAATAAATTCAATTGAAAATGTAGTAAATAAATCTGATTCTTACGAAATTCTAGTTCTCTCCAGATACCAATGAAATCATTTTTTCCTTTAAAAATATCTTTAGATGTTACATATCATACGGTTAGTAAGTTTACCTAAATAGCAAAAGCAACAATTAATATTAACATTTGTTGATAGTTTATCAAAGGCCCTGTGCTCAGAACATTTTCACCATTACCTCATTTAATTCTGCAGCCCCAGAAAATGAAGACTGTTAAAGCTGTTTTATAGCCCAGTAAACTGGGGCACAGAGATTAAGTGACTTTCCCAAGGTTACAGAGCTAATTAGTGACACAGCTGAGTTTTAGTCTATGTGATTCCAGAGCCCCTTCTGATAAACACTACACCATATTTGCTTTGAAATTTAGGTAACCACTTTTTTTAAAGGGCTATCCATCAGAAATAAGATACCTCATTTGACCTGGGAAAGGAAATTGGCTGGATAGAAAAAATAAACAGAAGCAGATTTAACTTTCCACAGTAAATTCTCTAACTTTTTTAATTTTGTACTGAGTATATTGGCATATTTATTACCAAGTTTAAAATAAAATTTAAATTTTAAAATAATTAGAAAGTGCTATACAGTATAATGTTTTTGTTTTCTTCAAATTCAGGGTGAATTTATAAAATTAAAACTGCAGCTGCCAATGCCTTGTAGATATCTTACGATACCAGTGTACAAGGAACAGATCCCTAACTTGGGTAGACTGGCTGTTAAAAGGTGATGATAAACACTGCAAGTCCTTTGAATTTTTCCAGTTTATCCCTAATTATCATTAAAATTGGGATAAACTAAAAATAATGGATAGGATTATCCTAGGGAGCTTTCAGTTTTATAGTCTATGAATCTTAATTTCTCTGGACTAAAGACATAAAGACAGAGGAATATAGTAACTGTTAACAGTTAACATTATGAATCCTTTTGGAATTTCATTAAAGTAATATCCTAAAACTGTATTATAATTTATGCAAATTTCCCCAAAATATGTCCTTAATTCTTAACCTACATGAACTATATCTGCCAACAATCCATTTAGCTTTGGGTATTTTTTTCTTGCATTTTTGGGGTGTTGAACTTGAGGAAGGACCACCCCAGCAAAAATGGGACTCTTGGAAAAGATATTCTGTAAATGAGGTGTCAAATTGCCTGGAAAGAAAAAAAAATATGAATATAAGAAAGCAAGGAAATTAATCTAAAATCAAAATAAATTGCTATGTGACTTGCATTAAATTACTAAAAAGGGAGAATAACAATTATGTTAATTTTTTAAGGTTGAAGAAAGCACTATCTGAATACAGCGTAAAAGTTCATAAGTTTCCCCAGTAATCTGTTGCTAGCAGGTAAGCAGTAGAAAATTTAAAACCACCAGGTTCGTTTTCATTTCCCAAATTATAAGACATAATACATGATGCTATCAAGAAAAGCGCAAACTTTTACATATTTCCATATGGGCATCTAAATAGCTTAACTAACAAGTGTTCGTCAGCAAAGCCTTACTCAAAACAGCTAAAATACCTAAATTATTTAGAAATAGCAATATTGCAAAGAAGAAACAAGGCTATGGAGTAGTAGTAGAATGGAAAGAACCATAAACAGCAGTGGAGAAAGCTAAGTTCTAGCGCCAGTTTTGCTATAACTAGGGCTGTGCACTTGGGCAAATCTCTTTCCTTTCTATGCTTCAGTTTCCTTATCTGTAAAAGGACAAAAGTAATCCTATCATCTCTAAGGTTTTTTTCTAACATTAATCTAATAACGAGAACTTTAAAGATGACCCAAAAAAGTATGATGCTCTAAGACTCTGAACTAAATCTTTAATTAATATTTATCCAGATTTCATGATTTTTATGGTTGCTCACAGTATCTTCTTCATGATCTGTAATTACATGTTTATGTATAGCCTCTCTACCACAAAAGGGGCTCCTCAAACTCCTCATTCAGAAATATATAAAAAAACAAATCATTGAAACTCCATGAGCAAGGCTAACCATCAAAATGTTTGGATAGTCAAGACAGATCATCATAATTCAGCTCTCATCAAGTGTATTTTTAATTACTTTTTTAATTTAATAAAAATTTAATGTTTATTTATTTTTGAGAGAGAGGCAGAGACAGAGTGCAAGCAGGGGAAGGACAGAGAGAGAGAAAGACACAGAATCTGAAGCAGGCTCCAAGTTCTGAGCCATCAGGCACAGAGCCCACCAAAGGGCTTGAACTCACAAATTGTGAGATCATGACCTGAGCTGAAGTCGGACGCTTAACCAACTGAGCCACCCAGGCACCCCTCAGCAAACGTATTTTTGAATAAGTTATTTAGGTACCTGGTTATTTATTGTGGCTAAAAAAAAAAAAATTCTCAGTAACTTTCTATCTCCAACTACTTTAATAGACATCTAAATCAACTCTATTATTTAAAAGTCCTCTTTCAGAGATGCAAATATTTGTAGAAGCCAAAACTTTAGAACAACTTTCAGACAATTTGAAGTAGTTTCCTACTGTACTATTTTTCTTACTATCAATCATTAGCAAATGTCTTAGCTACTTACATCCTAGCAAAGAAAATATTATTTACAAAAACAGAGAATTTTCTACTTTCTTTATCAGCCCAAGGCTTCCACTTGCTGCCATCTACCAAAACAATATGCTTCCCTGTTCTTATAAAGAAAAAACTGAATCTGAATATCAAGCAGACGTGATCTGGCAATATCTATTTCAGGCATTTAACAGTATATTTCGGTAGTACCTACCTACTTTTAAAACAATTTTATGAAGTAAATCCAAATCAGAGCTGCTAGGAAGATAGGGATTTCCAGTGGCCATCTCAATGATCATACAACCTAAAGCCCAGATATCTACAGGTCTGAAACAACAAGAATAAATTGCTTTTTCATGGAGAAATACATACCTTTTCTAAAAAAAATTTTTTTTAAATTTTTTTTTTAACATTTATTTATTTTTGAGACAGAGAGAGACACAGCATGAACGGGGGAGGGGCAGAGAGAGAGGGAGACACAGAATCGGAAGCAGGCTCCAGGCTCTGAGCCATCAGCCCAGAGCCCGACGCGGGGCTCGAACTCCCGGACCGCGAGATCGTGACCTGGCTGAAGTCGGACGCTCAACCGACTGAGCCACCCAGGCGCCCCTCTAAAAAAATTTTTAAATAAAGTTGCAGCCAAAGAAAAAAGAATAGTTAAGTGGTATCACCTATAAATTTTCACCTTAGTATCGTAACCCAACTTTAGGATATATATAAACATTATCACATTTTATTAATAATATTAAATAGCTTATATTTAAATCACATGAGAAGCCATGTAGTAGTCCAGATGAAAAGTAACTATAATTCTAAAATTGTTTCAAATACTTATATAAGGACATTATGATAAATGGTTTATTAATTAGAATAATTGAATACCAAGATCATCTTGTTTTTTAAGGAATATAAAAAATCTTAAATATTTTACCATTTACATTTACTTATCTTAAGGTGTTGTGAGTCATTCATAATTCCAACATTTTCCCATTAATCAGTTTTTCTTTTAAGTTTACTTATTTATTTTGAGCAAGTGAGTGCAAGCAGGGGGAGGGGGCAGAGACAGAGAGAGAATCCCAAGCAGGGGCTAGGGGCTCCATCCCACAAACTGTCATGACCTGAGCTAAGATTAAGAGTTGGACATTTAACCAACTGAGCTACCCAGGCGCCCCCGACATAACCAGTTTTTAAAAGATAGTTTATATTACGAAGACGTTTAAACAGATAAAAAGCAGCCCTATCTCACATTCAGAAGAAATATAAACACTACAGTGAGGGGGTACCTGGGTGGCTCAGTTGGCTAAGTGTCCGACTTCAGCTCAGGTCATGATATCGTGGTCTGTGAGTTCGAGCCCTGCATCGGGCTCTGTGCTGACAGCTCAGAGCCTGGAGCCTGCTTTGGATTCTGTGTCTCCCTCTCTTGCTCTGCCCCTCCTCCACTCATGCTCTGTCTCTCTCTCTGTGTCTCAAAACTAAAATAATAATAATAATAAAAATTTTTAAAAAACGCTACAGTAAGATATATCTTTCTCTAATCCAATTGATAAAAATTATAAGATTCAGTAACTGCTGTATCGGTAAAGCTATGGAAAATGAATACTCCCATGTACTGTTTTGGGAATGTAAACTATACTTATTTGAAGGGAAAATTGGCAAAAGTTATCAAAATAAAAAATGTACATACTTTTGGGGCACCTGGGTGGCTCAGCTGGTTAAGCAACTCACTCTCAATTTTGGCTCAGGTCTTGATTGCATGGTTGTGAGATGAAGCCCTGCATTGAGCTCTGCATTGGGCATGGAGTCTACTTGAGATTCTCATTCTCCTTCTACCCCCCCTCCCCCCAACTCCTGCTCATTCTCTCTCTCTCTCTCTCCCCTTCTCAAAAAAAGGAAAAAAAAAATGTACATACTTTTGACCAACTTTATTCCTAGGAATTTATACAAAGATCTGCCCACCCTTGAACACAAAGATAAATGATAAAAGATAAGCTGCGCCTGGGTGGCGCAGTCGGTTAAGCGTCCGACTTCAGCCAGGTCACGATCTCGCGGTCCGTGAGTTCGAGCCCCGCGTCGGGCTCTGGGCTGATGGCTCAGAGCCTGGAGCCTGTTTCCGATTCTGTGTCTCCCTCTCTCTCTGCCCCTCCCCCGTTCATGCTCTGTCTCTCTCTGTCCCAAAAATAAATAAATGTTGAAAAAAAAATTAAAAAAAAAAAAAGATAAAAGATAAATAATAAGCACTATTTGTGGTAGAAAAAAAATGGAAACAACCTAAACATCCATCAACAGAAGAAAGGCTATGTAAAATTTTGTATAATACACAACAAAATATTATTCACCTGTTTAAAAAGATAAGGTATGTGATAATATAAAGTGATTCTGGGGTGCCTGGGTGGTTCAATCAATTAAGCATCCGACTATATATTTCAGCTTAGGTCATGATCTCACAACTCATGGAATCAAGCCCTGAGCCACTGCTTGGGATTCTCTCTCCTCTCTCTGCTCTTCCCCCTGCTCATATGCTTGCTTGCTCGCTCTCTCTCAAAATGAATATTTTAAAAAAATTTTTTAATAAAAATTAAACAAAAATAAAGTGATCTCCAGGAGGGGCCCCTGAGTGGCTCAGGGGAAAGAGCATGCAACTCTTCATCTCAGGGTCATGACTTCAAGCCCCATGCTGGGTGAACAGATAAATAAATAAATATTTAAAAAAAAATTTTAAGTGATCTCCAAGATAAACTCTCAAGTGAAAAAAGCAAAATTCAGTAAAGAAATCCTGGAAGATCTATATAAATGGAGAAATATTGTATATTCATGAATAGGAAGGCTCAATATTGTCAAAATTTCAGTTCTTCCCAACTTGATCTATAGATTCGGTGCAATCCCAGTCAAAATCCAATTTGGATACCACCAAACTGATTCTAAAGTTTATATTGTTGGGATACTTGGGTGGCTCAGTCAGTTGAACCTCCAACTTCAGCTCAGGTCATTATCTTGTGGTTCGTGAGTTCGAGCCCCATGTTGGGCTCTGTGCTGACAGCTCAGAGACTGAAGCCTGCTTTGGATTCTATGTCTCCCTCTCTCTCTGCCCCTCTGCCACTCACGCATGCGTGTTCTCTGTCTCTCTCTCTCTTTCTCAAAAATAAATAAATATTTAAAAAATTTAAGTAATATTTAAATTTATATTGTTTATACATAGTTTAAAAAGAGACACCATGCTCAAAATTGAGTCACTTGTGCTAAGCCCACATCACCAAACTGAAGCTTAATACTTAACTTAATTTGCTTCAACTTATCCCAGAAATGGGATATTAAACTAGTCAGTCTGGAATTACCTGATCAGCACTCCTGAATGCTGCCTGAGTTTCTGCCAGACAGAACCCTGCCATTCTCTAAAGGAAGGTGAAAAATAATCTATTCTTTACTAGTAACTTCCTTGCCTTGCCCTCTTTTGCCTATGTAAGTCTTCCTATTTTGTACAGCCCTTTGGTGTGCCTTTCTATCTGCTAGATGGAATGCTGCCTGATTCACAAATTGTTGAATAGAGCCATTGAAATTTTTTTAATGTTTTTTTAAATTTATTCTTGAGAGAGAGAGAGAGAGACAGAGCATGAGCGAGGGAGGGGCACAGAGAGAGCGGGACCCAGAATCCAAAGCAGGCTCCAGGCTCTGAGCTATCAGCACAGAGCCTGACGCAGGGCTTGAACCCACAAGCGGTGATATCATGACCTGAGCCAAAGTCAGATACTCAACCGACTGAGCCACCCAGGCACTCCGAGCCATTAAGATCTTTAACTTTTACTCAGCTGAATTTTGGTTTTTAACAATATGGTAAGGCAATAGACCAGAAGAGCCAACACAATGTTGAAGAAGAACAAAGTCAGAGGAAAGATACCCCTTAACTTCAAGACATATTATAAAGCTACAATAATCAAGACACTGGTATTGGTGAAAGAATAAACAGATGAAGAGAACAGAATAGAGTCCAGAACTAGATTCACAAGAATAACTAAACTTTGACAGAGGAGAAAAGACGATTTAAACTGACAAAGGAGAAAGGACAATCCAGCAGAGAAAGGAAAATCTTCAACAAATGATACTAGAACAACTAGACATCTATATATGGGGGAAAAAAAGAAGCTAGACACAGATCTTAACATTTTCACAAAAATTAACTCAGAATGGATCACAGATATAAAAATTATATACAAAACTATAAAATTTCTAGACAATAATATAGGAAAAAATCTAGATGATCTTGGGTTAGGTGATGAGTGTTTTTTCTAAGATTTTTAAAATGTTTTTTATTATTTTTGAGAAAGAGAGATATAGCATGACCGGGGGGGGGGGATGGGGGGCAAAGAGAGAGGGAGACACAGAATCCAAAGCAGTCTCCAGGCTCCAAGCTGTCAGCACAGAGCCCGATGTGGAACTTGAACTCAGGACTGTGAGATCATGACCTGATCTGAAGTCAGACACTTAACCAACTGAGCCACCCAAGGTGCCCCTGAACTGTACAATTTAAATGGGTGAATTTTATGGTATGTGACTCATATCTCAAAAAAATTGTTGTAACAAAAGTGTAGATTAAACTAAGTAGATGCACTTATGGAAGTAGATAAAACTGTAAAGAAATATGAGGAACTGAATATAATAAAAATCAACAAGATGGTTACTTTTGGGATAAGGGAGAGTGATAAAATTGGAACAGGGAACATGGAGGGCCTTCAGGGGGGCAGAAAAATTCTATTTTTTTATTCAAGTGTAATCAATATATATTAGTTTCAAGTGTATAATGTGATTCAACAATCCTATACACTATACACTACTCATTGCTCATCATAAGTGTTTCTTAATCCCCTTCACCTATTTCAACTAATCCTTAACTCCAAAATTCTATTTTTTGATCTGTTGCTAAGACTGTACATTTGTTGTGCTGGATTTTTTGTATCTCTGTGTTGTTTCACAATAAAACGATTTTTTTAAAAAGATGCACTAGTAAATTTATTTCAGACATAACGTGAAGTCCCATAGAAGCCAAATTTTCCACGTACAAGTCACCAATTTTGGCTCTGTGGAATACAAGAGATTATACCTGTTCTCAAGGAACTTATCTTTCAGCAGGAAGCATTTTTTTTAATTTTTTTTTTTAACGTTTAGTTATTTTTGAGACAGAGAGAGACAGAGCATGAACGGGGGAGGGGCAGAGAGAGAGGGAGGCACAGAATCCGAAACAGGCTCCAGGCTCCGAGCTGTCAGCACAGAGCCCGATGCGGGGCTCGAACTCACGGACCTCGAGATCGTGACCTGAGTCGAAGTCGGACGCTTAACCAACTGAGCTACCCAGGCGCCCCAGGAAGCGTTTTTTTTTTTTTTTAAAGCTAGAACTAGATCATATTAGTATTAACTGGCACAAAATTTACACACAATGAACAAGAAGATTTAGAAGGGGATATGATTTGGGGGCAAGGGTTAGGAATAGCAGGTGCATGAGAAAAGGAATTTAAGATATCATGAAGAGAGGGTAAAACTGGGACACAGATCTTATGGGGCTACACTTATTGAGTATTTATTATATTTTAATCTTTTTCATTCATTTAGTCATTTGATTCTCACCACAAACCTATGAAGCTTGTCCTATTATTATTTCCATTATAAAGATAAAGTAACTGAGGCACAGAGATGGTGTACGTAGGGATCAGTGGGAAGTATAGTTGAAAAGGTACTTAGGGGTGCGTGGGTGGCTCAGTCGGTTAAGTGTCCGACTTCGGCTCAGGTCATGACCTCACAGTTTGTGAGTATGAGCCCCACGTCAGGCTCTGTGCTGACAGCTCAGAGCCTAGAGCCTGCTTCAGATTCTGTGTCTTCCTCTCTCTCTGCCCTTCCGCAGCTGTGCTCTGTCTCTCTCTCTCTCTCAAAAATAAATAAACATTAAAACAAATTTTTTTTAAAGAAAAGGTACTCAGGAATGACCTTGGGCCAGTTAGTTTACCTGTGTTTTATATCCTTTTATTTTAAATGGGGATGATGAGGAGGATGGGCAAAATGGGTGAAGGGTAGTAGGAGATACAGACTTCCAGTTACAAAATGATTAAGTCACAGGAATAAAAGGCACAGCATAAGGAATATAGTCAATAGATATTATGATAGTATTTTAAGGTGACAAATGGTAGTTACATTTGTACTGAGCATAGCATAATGTAAACAGATATTGAATTGTTGTATTGTACACCTCAAACTAATGTAGTATTGTGTGTCAACTATTTTCTTTCTTTTTTTTTTTTTAAGATTTTATTTTAAGTAATGTCTACACCCAACACGGGACTTGAACTCACAACCCTGGGACCAAAAGTCACATGGTCCACAGGCTGAGCTAGCCAGATGCCCTTCAACTACAGTCAAATAAAAAATATTTTAAATAAAATATCCATATTATCATTTATAAAGATTTTTAAAAATAAAATAAAACAAAATGGGGATGATAACAGCAGCACCTTATCACAGAGTCATTGAGGAAATAAAATTGTTTAATGCATGTAAAGCATTTAGAACAGTTCCTGGCCACGAAGTAAATACTCATTAAAGTTAGATATTATTGTAAAAACAGAATAATGATTTCTAGAAAAGGTGTTTGAGAATTATCCATGCCCCCCACCCCACCGCCAGTTCTTGTATTAAGTTGGACTACTTGGTCCCTTTATGCACATCAAGATTTGTTATTTATATATTAGATTGCCATTTCATGTACTGTTTCTACTGTTTCACAAAAGACTGAGACAATGCTACTTTCTAAAGTATCTAGAACAGCACAATCTAAAAATTGTTTGCCAGACTTTGTAAAGAGGGTGCCATATTCTGGAAAATAGGAAACTTGGCAGTTCCTATGGTAATGCCAGCAGAGCAAGGTAAATGATTTTGAAATCTTTGCAGAATGTAGAGGTTAAAGAGAAACAGACGTCACTCTGCCATGGTGGGGGCACAGCTTAAAGCAAGCACGGATACAACCTGAGGGATGTCAGCACAGGTCACCTGGGGTTGGGGCCACTCAGCAGCAGAGGGCAAGCGTGGTAACACCATTATCTAGCAAGGCAGGTGCCTACGGGCTCTATCTGTTCTTTTTAGAGGCATCCCTGTCTTATCTCCAACCCAGAAGCAGAAGGCAGAGGGTGTCAATAGTAGGGATGACAGACACACAAAGGGAAAAAAAGAGATGGCCAGGAAAGGCCAGACAGGATCCCAAAATATACGTACTTTCCATAAGAGGTATCTTTTAATACTAATTCTGGAGCTCTATACCAGCGTGTGGCCACATAGTCCGTATAAATGTCCCCAGGAGCTGCTAGAGTTCGTGCAAAACCAAAATCACAGAGCTTAGTAATTCCTGACTGGGATACTAAAATATTCTCAGGTTTTATATCTCGATGAATGATCTAAAAAACAAACAGAAGATGCAATACATTAAAATGAGAATTCATTATCTAGAGGATCACTGAAAAATTATACAGAGATAATCTAGCTAATTAAAACAGTAAAGCTATTTTCTTACCGCAGGCAAAGGATTAACTGCACAATGCAAAAGCTAAATAAGTACATATTTTCAATTCTTGCCATCTCAAAATGAAATGAAGCCAAGAAAACAGATATAATACTAAAAAGGAAAATCACGGGGCGCCTGGGTGGCGCAGTCGGTTAAGCGTCCGACTTCAGCCAGGTCACGATCTAGCGGTCCGTGAGTTCGAGCCCCGCGTCGGGCTCTGGGCTGATGGCTCAGAGCCTGGAGCCTGTTTGCAGTTCTGTGTCTCCCTCTCTCTCTGCCCCTCGCCCGTTCATGCTCTGTCTCTCTCTGTCCCAAAAATAAATAAACGTTGAAAAAAAAATTAAAAAAAAAATAAAATAAAAAGGAAAATCACATTCCTAAAAAGAAAGGTAATCAAAAGAACATAATGAAAAACAGGTTAACTTTCCTTTAACCCTGTGCCATTCTAGATACAACTGCCCCTTCTCTCATTCCTTCACAGCTAAACCTCTTGAAGACGTTATCTTTACTAAGTCTTTTTTTTCTCATCACTCATTTATTCCTTAAAGTAATATAACCTTAAAGTATATAAAGTAATATAATATAAAGTAATATAACCTTAAAGTAATATAACCTTAAAGTAATAATATAATATTCCTTAAAGTAATCATTCCTTATATAAGGAATATAAAATATTCCTTAATGTCATTTGTTCCCACATTCTATCAGACTGCCCCAATATGTATCTTACTTGACATATTAGAGTAAAAATGTTGCCAACTATTCCTCCCTTCCTGATTTCTGGGACCTAAAATTCTCCCAGTCCCTTCCATTTCAGTGGCAGTTCCTCTTTCTCTATTTGTCTCTTAAATGTAGGATTCTGGTCCCAGGCTTTCTTTTCTCACACATCCTGTTCCCTGGGCAATGACATCTACTCATTGGTTTTTTTACCACTTTCGTCACCTATCATGGAGACACCATATTCTCTTGGCTTTCTTCCCACCTCTTGGCTGCTCCATCTCAATCTCATCTACACTTCTAGCTTTAGTAACAATATACTGATAATTTCCAAATTCTATCTCTAACCAAGATATGTCTCCTGATTTCCACAAGGGTTGGAAGTCCACAAGAAGTCTGACAAGGCTGACCCACACACAGCTCAAACTTAGCAAATCCAAAACTGAATGCTTCATTTTCTCCCCAAAACCTGTTTTCAACAGTCCTTTAGTTCCATGGATGGAACAAACATTGACCCCATATCTCAAGCCAGAAACCAAGATATTTTTCTCCTTCAGCTCCAATATATATTTTTGTCCCTAGTTCAAGTCCCCTCAACTCTCTCACCAAAATTACTACATTGCCAAATGGTCTCCCTGAATTCATTCTGATCCCCTCCAATCCACTGTCACAGTACTATTTTATTTTATTTTACTTTAGAGAGAGAGATCATGAGCAGGGGAGAGGAGCAGAGGGGTAAGGAAGGAGGGAAGGAGAGAGGGAGAGAGAGAAAGGGAGATTGAGAGAGAGAGAGGGAGAGAGAATCTCAAGCAGGCTCTATGCTGCGTGGGGCTTGAACCCACGACCCTGGGAACATGACCTGAGCCCAAATCAAGAGTCAGACACTCAATCAACTAAGCCATTCAGCTGCCCTCAGAGTACTATTTTAAAATCACATGTGTGGGCACCAAGCTGGCTCAGTTGGAAGAGCATGTGATTCTTGATCTCAGGGTCATGGGTTCGAGCCCCACGCTGGGTGTAGTAATTACTAAAAAAAATAAACTTTAAAAAAATTACATGTGTGATCATGTCACTTCTCTGCTTAACATTCTTCAAGGATTTCCCATCCCATAGAACAAATTTGAAACTCCTTAAAATGGCTTATAATGCCTTCTAGAATTTGGCCCTCACTTCCCTAGCCTATACAATATTCGTTTCCTAAGTTTTCAAGGTTTGTCTTATCTCTATGCACTTGCTGATGCTGTTCCAATTGCCTAGAACACTTTGCCTGACCACCTATTTCCTTAGGTCATAGCTTATATATTTATATTAGTAATATAAATTTATGTTAGTATTTAAGTAATCTCTACACCCAACCTGGGGCTTGAACTTACAACCCCGAGATTAAGAGTCACAGACTACACTGACTGAGCCAGCCAAGTGCCCCTATTTAATGGTATTCTTTATTTCAATTTCTGATTGTTGATTGCCAACATGTGTTCTCACATCATTCTGTACTTCCCCCATTACATTATTTGTCATGGTATTTATTAATTGCCTGTTTACTTGTTTGTAACTCCCACTAGACTATAAACGCCATGAGGGCAAGATTTCTGTATTATTTAAGCTATATCCCCAGTGACCAGTACAGTGCCTAAAACAAAGAAAGCATTTAAAAATTTTATGAATGAAGCATATTCTCATCACTAACAAAGTATCATAGCACAAGTGAAAATATCTCAGTGACAGAAATCTGGCATCTTTCCTTGTTTATACAACTTAACTGCTATAAGTGTTTGGGATTGGCTCTTGTTCTGACTCAGTTTCCCTCCATAAGTGGCCAAAACATTAACTTGGGGTAATGAGACACCTTAAATGTACCATATATAAAACTATATTAATCCTTTTTTTAAGTTTGTTTATTAGTTGGGGGGGAGGGGCACAGAGAGAGGGAAAGACAGAATCCAAAGCAGGCTCCATGCTCTCAGCGCAAAGCCCCACACGGGGCTCAGTCTCACCAACTGTAAGATCATGACCTGACTGAAATTGAGAGTCAGATGCTTGGGGCGCCTGGGTGGCGCAGTCGGTTAAGCATCCGACTTCAGCCAGGTCACGATCTCGCGGTCCGTGAGTTCGAGCCCCGCGTCGGGCTCTGGGCTGATGGCTCAGAGCCTGGAGCCTGTTTCCGATTCTGTGTCTCCCTCTCTCTCTGCCCCTCCCCTGTTCATGCTCTGTCTCTCTCTGTCCCAAAAATAAATAAACGTTGAAAAAAAAAAAAAGTCAGATGCTTAACTGACTGAGCCACCCAGGCACCCCCATATTAATCCTTTTTTATTTCTACAACTTTTACTGAATGAGTAGTATATGCTAGGCATTATGCCAAGATCTAAGGATATAACATGAGCAAAAGCCGACATGGAAAAGCACATTAAGATACCACTTCACATATTCTGCCTGCCAGATATCTATCACTATCCTCCTCAGTCTTTTAAAAATGAAGCAGAAAGATGCACTCAGTTGATATGCTTGTATTTTCATTCTATTCAACAACTAAAACCATGACGACATGTGGAATTTTGTTATCCTTGAGAACCAAGCACACTCTAAATCCCAACTTGTAAAACCTGTGTTTGACTAGATCCTCCTTGGCCTTCTACTATCACACTGTGACCTCCATAAACACAGTATTTCCTTCAACTTGTTTAGGTCTTCTTTAATTTCTCTCAATGTTTAGTAATTTTCAGGTTATAGTTCTTACACATCTTTTGTCAGACTCTCCCTAAGTATTTCATATTTTTGAAGCTGTTTAATGGCATTTTTTTAAGATTTTATTTTTAAGTAATCTCTACACCCAACCCAGGGCTTGAATTTACAACCCCAAGATCAAGAGTCACAGGCTCCACTGACTGAGCCAGCCAGGTGCCCCTATTTAATGGTATTCTTTATTTCAATTTCTGATTGTTGATTGCCAACATATAGAAATACAATTAATTTTGGTATATAAATCTTATATCCCATAACTGCGATAAATTTACAAATTAGTTCTGTTAATTTTATTGTAGATTCCATAGGGTTTTCTATGTAGATGATCATATCACTTGTAAATAAAGACAATTTTACTTCTCAAAAAAATAAGGCACCATTTCACACTCACTAGAATAGCCACAATCAAAATGACAAAAAACAAGTATTGGGGAGGAAGTATATTGTTGGTGGGGATGTAAAATGATACAGCCACTTTGGAAAACAGTATGGCAGTTTCTTTCTTTCTTTTTTTTTTTTTTTGACAGTTTCTTTAAAAAGTTAAAACATAAAACCTATGACGCAAGTGGTATTTTTTTATGTAAGCTCTACACCCAACATGGGACTTGAACTCATTACCCCCAAGAGCAAGAGTCACATGCTCTACTGTTGGAGCCAGCCAGTCACTCCTACCCATATAGTATTCTTAACTTGACTTATTTTACTTCTTTCTCCCTAGTTCCTGGTAGTTTGGTAAACCAACAGTCCCCCAAATCATGGGGAAAACCAGAAGCCTAGCAGCTCCCAGAGAAAGAAGGACAGTGTCTTATCTCCTCCAAAGCCCCTTTCCCAGGTAGCTGTCATTATTTGATCTGACAAATCACTGAAAAATCCCGCTAGAAATCTTCCATTTATTTGATTGAAAGTAGAGCTTGCCCAGTGCAAAAAGCCTTTCTCCTGGGGCCTTGGTCAGAAATAATTAGCACACCATAATTAGAACACTATCAAGAAAGCAAAAAGACAACTCATAGGAGAAAATATTTGCAAATTCCATCTCTGATAAGCATCTAGTTTCCAAAATATATAAAATTCAACTCAACAATAAAAAGACAAATAAGCTAGTAAAGCGGGCACCTGGGTGGTCCAATCGGTTGAGTGTCTGATTTTGGCTCCAGTTGTGATCTCATGATTTGTGAGCTCAAACCCCACATTGGGCTCACTGCTGTCAGATGAGCCCACTTCAGATCCTCTGTCCCCCACCCCCCGCCCTGTCCCTCCCCTGCTCATACTCTCTCTCTCAAAAATAAACATTAAAAAAATGTTTAAAAAATAATAAAAATTAGTAAAGGACCCGAATAGACATTTCTTCAAAGAAGATATGCAAATAAGAATTTGCCAGTTCTGAATGTTTCATTTTAATGGAATTTATGCTGTGTGGTTTTTTACATCTCAATT